CCCCCCCCGCCCCTTACCTCAGCTCATCCAGCGCGTCCCTCGTGGACTCGAGCGTGCCCTTGAGCTCCGCCGCCCGTCTCTCCTCCTCCTCCCATTCCGCAGCGCGCCCGCGCAGGCGGGACAGCTCGGCGTCCGCCAGCTCCGCCGCCTCCCTTACCTCCGCCGCCCGCCTAGCCTCCGCCTCCGCCGCCGCCATCGCCTCCCCCTCCGCCCTCTCGGCGCCCTCCGCCCTGGCAAGCAGCGCCTGCGAGCCCTGGCGGAGCTCCTGGGAGATGGTCCGCTCGGCGGCGAGACTGGTCTGGAGCTCGGCGCACCGCTCCCGTTGTTCCTCAAGAGTGGAAGCGTTATCCTGGAGCCGACGGGAGGCCTGCTCCAGATCTCTCTTGAGGCCATCGATGGCGGCGGCGTCTTCGGGGGCGGTTCTGGCGTCGGAATCATCGGCGCTGTCTTGGGCGGTAGCACTGCCCGTGTCACTGTCTCCGGTGCCGCCACCGCCGCCCCCGCCGCCGCCGACGGCAGCGGAGGCGTTATCGGGGGCCTCCTTGTTGCCGGCGACGGCGGCCTCGTCCAACGCCTCGGAGAGACGCTCCCTCAGCTGTTGCACCTCCAGGCCCAGCTCGGCCGAGATCCGCTCGCTCTCGGTGCTCCTGGACAGCGCTTGCTCCAGCCGCTGGTTGGCCTGGACGGCGGTGTTGCAGTCGTTGTCATTGGGAGGTAGTTGTAAGGGGCAGGGAGTTGCCACGGCTGGTAGGGTCATCGGGCGAGGCAATGGGCATGGGTAGACGCGTGTACCGGTTACTGAACACGACGTCTTGCCTGGCTTACGTAAGCGGATGAATGCCCGACTTATGTAAGTGGATGAATACCGTCGGGATCCGTCTATAGGGCGGGTATGTGCCCGATGCACTCACCCTACAGCGAGCACCCGCTCTATTCAAAGCATAAACACAAATCTAATATGCTACGTGTGCCAAGAGAATTGAACAAGGCATCGTGCGTCAAGTGAGTCATACCATCTTGTCTCCACTCACACGACTGCAAAACCCGAGCAGCCATGCTGCAGGCCTGAAACGGGAAATATGGCAACGCTGTTGCAACAGCAGTTCTTCGAACCAAAAACAAAAACAACACACGAAACGATTCGGTGAGATCGAGCCGATTTCAGTCACCCCAGTCTCTACCTCGGCCATTTCCTAGCACCCGCAAATGCATCAGAGCTTCAAAATAGGGTACGTACCTCGATCAAGGCCGCTTGTTGGTCCCCCAGCTCCCTCTGCAGCATCTGCAGGGTTTGACGGAGCCCCTCCTTTTCGGCGTCCCCTTCCGTCCTGAAAGACGCGAAAAAAAAACAACGGGTCGGATGGGTTTCGGCGTGCAGCAGCAGCAGCAGCGTTAGTAAGGACGAAACAGCCACCAAACACACTCGACAAAGCGAAAACAAACGAGACAGAAAGGGTTCGGCAACGCAACATTTCTCGTGCAGCAAATTAAGACAACAGCCACCAAAAACACGGGGGGCTACCGCGGTGGTCGCCAAGGGTTAGGGTTAGGGTATGATTACACCTTCTCTCGATTCAGCACAACACAAACGGTCACAACCAGGTGGGGTGTTCACCCGTACTGCTGTACCTCAGAAAAGCACTACCAAACGCTCGGGCTGACGCGACGCGTGTACTGCACGTTCAATGGCGTGTATTTGCTGACATGCGGTGAAAAACAAACAAATGCCCCTGGTAAATTAACAATAATTTGCAGGCCTGCCAGCTGTGAAACGGCCGCGCTCGCACGGCAGTCGGTTGGAAGGCGTGTACAGACGCCCAGGTAGCACGGGTAGGGCGAACCAAACTGAGACCATTCACTGCTACCTGTGGTGCAAGAAACAAAAAATAGCTGTACACGGGAAAATTTTCATCCACATACTTACCTCTCCTCGGCAAGCTGCTGCCGCAAGGCCTCGACATCCTCTCGGTGCCCCTCCTTTTCTTCGTGCAGAGCTTCGGTTACGGCGGACAGCTGCTCCTCCATCCCTGCAGCCTCGGCCTGTGCACGGAAGGGGGGCACACCGCCACGCGATGAAAACAAAAAACGAAACAATAGGATGTTGTTATGAATGCAATTGAGGCACTCACGCCGTTGCAATGAAAGCAAAAGCACAATGCAAATCCTGCTGCTTCTGTCCTCGCCCGTGGAAAAAACGAGAGTGTAGTGCCGCGCATACCCGACAATTCCGACTGCAACGTCCGCGACGGCAAGGGATCGTTGAACCCTTCTCGCGACAATCATTGGGATAGGCTGCCGCGCTTGGAGAAACTGAACATTCCTGCGTGGCCTTCGTCCCCCTCCTTGTGGCACGAGCTAGTGCTTCCAAAAACAAGAACAGGTGTAAAAAACGACGCCCAGAAATAAACGGAGTGAACAAACAGCACACACATACTCAACGCTGTCCTGGGGAAACGCTGGTTCCGGGGACCCTGATTCTATATTCCACCGACACCGATGTCTCTTCGTTCATAAGTAAGTCAGTAAAGTAAGCGCGTGGTCGATGCTCGTTCATGAAACACAAATGTGATCGGACTCAGACTGCCGTCGTCCCATTGGTCAGCCCTTCGCGCGGTTGATGTCAATTCAAGCAACACACGCAAGCGCAACTCATCCCGCTAGGCGCACGGAGACACACCGCCCAAGGCGTCCAACCCTGCACCGAACGGGGGCCACGCACCTTGGAATCTTTGACCAGATCCACGAGCTTCTGGAGCTGCGGCTGCATCTCATTGACCGCCATTTCCGACTCCTGTCGGACCCTTCGAACCTCCCTCTTAAGCCTCTTGACCTGCTTCTCCTTGCTGAGGACCTGTTGGGCAAGCGGCATGAGACGTTGCCTGAGTGAGGTTCTCTGCGCATTAGCGGTACGGTTACAATAGGTATTACGGGAATCGAGTGCAAAAGTCTGAACAGTGGTTCTAGGACAGACGAACAGGTCATGACGCAAGCTGCAACTCCCGGGGATAGGGATCGCGCCAAGGGGATACTGCCTTCACGGCCCCTCCTTGAAGGGAGGTCCCCGCCTCCTTTTGCTCAGTGTACCGAAGAGCGCAAGGATTCAGCAAGTTCTAGTCAGTTGCTATTCAAGAGACTAAACGACGTTCCGAAGCAGCACACAACGGCACACAGCCACAACGCATACCATACCCCCCCGCGAGCGCACGGACCTGGGAATAAGGTTTGTTATAGCCACCCTTTGCAGAGTAGGAAGGAACGATTGGCCATCGGTGATCGGTCCTGTGAGAATTATGTTCCGTCCTCTCGAGGACGCGTGGTCAACGGTCTAACTGCAAAGGCATGCAAAACATAAGAAGAGTAAGCCTCCCCCCCCCCCCCCCCCCNTGAGAACCCAGCCCCAGCGTGCTCCGCCCCGGCTTTGTAGTGATGCGAGGTCCACGGTCTAACGATGACGGAATGCACAGCTATGAATACACCTCCCCCCCCCCCCCCCCCCCACACCCCCCCCCCCCCCCCCCCCCCCCCCCCCCCCGGCACGCACGAACCTGGGAGGCGTGCACCCTTTCCAGGCGTTCCATCTCGCGCTTAACGGCCTGGAACTCGTCGCTGGTGGGATCGAGCCCAAAGGCGTCGTCCATGTTTCCCTCCGCCGGAGGCCCGTCGTACACTGGCGGCGCTGGGCCTAAGCCCTCGTGCTCTCCACCTCGATGTCCCTGTCGCAGAGGGCTTCCGGGTGCGGGGGCGGGCCCCTTCCCTTCCAGCAGCTCCGTGTCTTGCCCATCGAGGGTAGGGGGGTTCTCTCCCTCCTCCTCGCACGCTCCATCGTCTTCATCGTCATCGCCATCGTCGTTGTCGTCATCGTCATCGTCGTCGTCGTCATCGAAATCTGAGCCCAGGTCTTCCTCTTCGTCGAAGTTCTTGGCGTGGTCGATGAGAGTAAAGGCCAAATACAACATCACGGCACCGCAGCAGTAAATTGCCCGTGGGGGATTAGCGGTATTTTCGGTGTCTGCATGCATGCAGGGGTTTGCGATGGATGGCACGACCATGTACGACATAACGCCGGGGTCTGCAATGCGTTGCCGCAACGAGATAGAAGGAGAGAGACGGTGTCGCGCGTAGAGGGCAGCAAGCACGCAGAATAGGTGGGCAATGAATATCTTGCGCAAGAAACACGCGAATGAACACACGCCGTTTTGCTTTAATGTCTAGGAGATGATGTGTCCGGCTAGGTACGAACCTCTCGAAGTCAGAAACTCAGGGGGGGAGATGGATTTGAACATTGGCCATACTTGGCCATAACAACATGTGGTCAGTTAAGGATTCTACTCTACCTCCTATGCACTGGACCTCGGGCTACAGTACCACACAGGCACAGACAAAACAACAACGAGCCTCAAGCAACTCAGGAGGTATACACCACGTGGGGCTCCTGTGCGCGCATGTAGACGAAAGCAGAAGCCCATACTAAATACTCGGTAGCAAATCGCATGATCGGTTCTCCGGTACAGTAGTCTATGTGTGAAATAATGGAACGTGTGAACAGCAGCGGTACGCTCAACGGCTTCTGCCACCAAGCATGGATAGGAAGTTGCCTACTACACACTGAAGATACACGGAACGCTAGCGTACTGCTGGACACCGTGCGATTTTTTGGGTGCTGATTGGTCGAAGATGCGTGTCTGGTGTCGGGCTCGTGGGAAGCGTCCCTCCGCAGATACGCAAATTGTTTGCTTGTTTGCTCTTCGGAACGCCTTGTGTTCCTGCAACCTAAAAAAGAGCAGATGCAAACATAGAAGCTTGGGAACAACTGGTTCTTCATTTTATCGCGAAAACTCCTGGTGCCTGCCGCATGAGACGCCAAACAGAGGTGGTAAGCCGTGATGATGGATGGCAAGCGGAACATTCAGGAAAAGGAAGGGGGGTGTCGGTGAATGCGGGGTGTCTCTTTGGTTGTGCCAAACCTCGTCCAGATTCTCCAACAGCTTTGCGCCCGCTTCTACTCCGTGCTTGACCGCACCCGCACCCTGCTTCACCAGCCCTGCAGCTCCGTCCCGTATAGCGCCCAGTCCCCACATGGCTACGATGGAGTCTTGAAATCAAATGACAAGCGGTTGATTGTAGGTTCCGAACCCGGAGCCCCTTCGGGTGTGAGGTGGAAGGGGGCTCCGCCGATGCAAGCTACTGGTCGTGTCGTGTTGTTGTATGCAGTGTGGGGCTGTGCCAGCGAGGGACAAAAGGGCGGCTTGTCGACTCCCCACGTCGAGGAGAGGGCAACCACAATGGCGGATTCTGATGGTGATGATATAGGGATCTCCTTCGGGTCGTTCACTGTGGACGATACCAGGCAGAGCAGCAATGATTATGCACATGTGAGAACTGATACTCAGTTGTTGCAGCAACCATATGCCATTTCCGCTCTTGGGGACTGCTGCTGCTGGTGAACCTTGGTCGTGTATGCGTGCATCAGCTCGAGAATGACTTGCAAACGATCTCCTATTCCCTTGACCTCTGTTTCAGCAGGAGATGCGCCAAGTCTTGGGGGAGTAATTTCCTTCCAGCGGTGTTGGGCAGGCTCGACGTTTGACAGCCGGGTGTAATGTCAATTTCCCCGACTGCAGTCAGCCGCAAGGTCAACACCACCCATCCACGATGCCCACCCTCGTATACCGCACACTTACTATTTTGAACTGCAACATCATAGGAGCAAAGCAATAGCTTGATCCCGGAACACCTTGACAAGTCACGCCCTTTATTTTTTGAACTATGTGTTGCTCGCGATTGTAGAACGACTGCGCAACTGCTACACACTCATGCCGCACTCTCGCAGACAAAAAGTCTGGTAGAGGTTGGTCTTATGTGAACTGTCAGCTGTGGATGGAAACTAAACTATGCATACAGGTATCAAGTCATTTTGCTGCAAATATTAGTGTATCCTGCTGGGGTCTCAGCCATGGATAGACATGAGTTCGTTGTGCTCGTGCAAACACATAAAATCTCGAGGAGCGGTGGGACAATTACGGCTCACTGCTGTCTATCTCGGATATCACAGGAAGTGCCAACAGCAGTGGTAAGGGTCTAACGCATGCTTAAATCTATCGCCCCTGTGTCCTGGCGGTGATCACCCCGCCATAATCCCCTCCTGTGCTGTGCCGCCAGCAGCGCACTCTTGTTGCAGGCAAGGGGGGCCTGGTGTGTGTATCACAACTTAGACGCGCGAATTAGGCCTGTCCTCCATCGGCCGTTTTGCTTGTATGACGGAGAATTAAGAAGGTGGAATTACTTGAAATTAGTATAGAAATAAAGTTTGTGTATCTAAATCGAAAATAAAACGGCCGATGGAGGACAGGTCTAGCGCGAATGTGGGTGTGGGCGGAGAGAAGGCGCACTTGAACACAGCATGAAATGACCCATCAAGTTGGACATGGAACGATATAGTGTGGTATTGGTACATCCGTCTTCCATTGTATCCAACTTGCCTCACCCACCACTTGGTACGTGGAAGAAAACCATCACACCTCGGTGTATAAAACGAAACTGACACGCCCCAACCCTAACCCTTCGCTCAACCCAACTACCATGCGCCAACCTCAAAGATCAAGGCTTCAGCACCAGCAAACGGGCCACCCGCAGACCCCGCTACGAAAACCGCCCCCGCGTTGCCTTTACCCACGGCGATATCGGCGGATGCTCGAGGCTCGGTACCGAACGTCCCGCAGGCCTTGCCGCCGCCGCCGTCGCAGCAGCAGCAGCAGCCCTCCAGCCCGGAGGTGTTCTTGCCGCGTCCACCGGTGAGTGTGTTTATTGTTGGCATTGACCCACGCTAACCGGCTGTCCAATGAAAAGACGTCAGTCTCAGTGCGGCTGAAAACTGAAAATGTTTCCAAATGCCATGATCTGGCTGTCTGTGTGTGTGTGTGTGTTTTTTATTCGCTGCTAGTGTTAGTTACAAATGTAGTTTCCATTGCAGCATTCAACCTTAATCGTAACTCTGCATAGCTTGCACATCACACGCTCCTGGCAGCCCACTGCAGGAAACTACCCCGAGAGTTCGACCAAGTCGAATCCTTCCATTCAACATTCGTCCAGCCTTCGTCGTTGCATCCCTCACACACCAGCAAGGTTATCCCCGGGAAAAAGCGGACGCAAAGCAAAGAAGCAATCGGTCCAAGAGCTCAGCTTTCAGGAACGACCGATGTTAGGTTCGGAGTTGTTGTTGTTGTTGTCTTCACATTAAAAACCATCCCGGTCTCTCTATCCAGTACCTCCTTCTGTCTCAATCTCTCCGTACTAATCAAGCACTTGACTCGGTCGATTTCCGTGGTCACAGGCTAACGTACCTAGAAAAGGTATACCAAAATAAAATGGACCCCAAGGGTTAGCAGAGCGATAAAATACAAGAAAACAAAAGAATTGGAAACAAATAAATAAATAAATAGTGGAACGTGCGCACCACCAGCCTGGGGTGTAGCCTTCCGGAAGGACCCCAAGGGTCAGCAGTACGTGCCAGTAAAACAACAATTCAAAATACAACGAAATAAACCAAAGGCAGACGAGGACATAAACAAACTCGCACAGAGACAGGGATATCCGTAGAGACAGTCTGAACGCGACAGCAAACTGGGGAGAGGGCAACATAAAAACTAGTCGCTGAAATTCAACCGCAACATGTCACGTTACGCGGTCGGTCTCTTCTCGCTTGCTTTCTTCCCGCCGCGTTTCCTCCCGCCCCCCTCCCGCCCCGTTGATTGGTGCCGTATCTAGACTATTTTTGGGCCCGCTGTCTCCTCGTTTGATGGCTCGTTGTCGGCTGGCCTTCTCCTCGCCCTTGTGCCAAGAGGCCATAAACCTCTCAGCTCCCTGTAGCACCCCCGCGTNTGGGGAGAGGGCAACATAAAAACTAGTCGCTGAAATTCAACCGCAACATGTCACGTTACGCGGTCGGTCTCTTCTCGCTTGCTTTCTTCCCGC